TTTTTTTTTTTTTTTTTTTTTTTTTTTTTTTTTTTTTACTTTTTTTTTTATTTTTTACTATTGTTGTTTTTTCCCTTTCTTTTTTTTTTTCTCATATGCTGAGCAATAAAGAGAAAGAGAAAGAGAGAGAAAGAGATGGACTAATCCTCCAGATCCACACGAGTGTCCCAGCCTGAACGGCGAAATGGATTGATACTACTTCCTGCGGCCCCTGGTGTTGAGCGGGGTCTATACACTACATGATCATAGTCAAACAGTGGTTGACGCTTGGGAGCCTCAGCCGTCACTTGCGAAGAGTCTTTCTTATCATTATCCACACTGAAACGAGAAATGCTGGTACGTGGAAGTGAGGCATTTAAACGTTCCAAATCATCTGAAACAACCACCATTTCACCATTCGTAACAAAAGGAGAAATCACATCTGGATATGGTTGAGATTCTTTTGTCATTTCTCGTCCACGATAAAAGTTTGTCCATTTCTTTACACGACGGGATTTTCCTTGAATATCAAATCCATCCACAACGGCAATCTCCGCTCTTGCGGTTCCCGTTTGCGTTCTAAAGCCATACACACAGGATATTTTTACCTCAAGGAAGGTACGACAGGCATATCCTTTCGTAATAAGTGTCAATGGAGTATTATTAGGAAGAACCAGTTGAGATTCGGGAATACCAAATCTGTGTTCACGGCAAGCATGATCTCGCATTACCTTTTCTCGTAAAACGGTTCTGTATTCACAAGATTCGGCTTTTGAACTCATTCGAACACGGTTTACAAGTAGAAATACAACCTTTGTAATAGATGATAGACCCCGTGAGTTATCAATAACAGCACGGAAAGTAACCGGTTGACCTCGAACACAGATAATGGAATGTATTGCAAGAGAAACAGAGACGATACCTCTCTTAAATATACTTACAATAGGTACATCAAGTTTATATGCCCACATTTCTCCATCAGAATAGGCTGGATCCACATAAATTAATTCATCCATATTATCATCTTGCTGACCTTGTAGTTCTTGTTCCCGTTGTCGTCGCTCTTCTTCTTGTTGTTCTCTGAAAAGTCTTTCCTCCCTTGTTTGAAAATCTTCTCCGTCTGGTGGTATATTTTCACCGTTTTCTTGTGAAGCATTTTCATTTGACATTTCATCAATCCTTCCTTCGCTTTGATTGCTATGAATATCTCCATTGGTGAATTCATCATCTTCATTATTATCAACCTTTACGTTATTGCCATTATTGCCGCCCCCATTATGTTCTGCAGTCAAGTTTGCAGAGTCTTCCCATTGTTCCATGCCTTTACTGTTCTTATTTTTCTTTTTTTCCATTTTTTCTCTCTTTTTCCTCTCCTCCTTCTCCCTTTTTCTTTCTTTCTTATCATCCTTCTTCTTTTCCTTTTCCTTTTTCTTTTTCTCCTTGTTTTCTGATTCGTGTGCTGCTACTCCATAACTATTCGGGAAAGGAGTTTGAGAAGCATCATCTTCATTGATATTATCTTCTTCATTTTCAGCAGTATCATTTATTTCAGCTTCATTGTATAGAGAAAATTGATGATCAATAAGATAAGATTTGCTACCACTGCTTACCTGATTTTCATCATTATTCTCATCATCATTATTCTCACTCTCTTCTTTACCTTCCCGTAGAGACATTGACTCTTCACATGCGAGAAGTTCAATACTTGATGATCGTACACGTGGATCTACTTTTCTGTGTACGGCAATCCACTGTAATGGATTTACTGGTAACATTCGTAGTGTAAAATACGTTCGGTCCTTCCCTCGAACACGTGACCCAGAATATAATTTCGTTTTTAAACAATATGTAAGTTTAGAAAATCCACTTCCTCTATGATCTTCATAGGAGGGTGGTAAAATATCTGGAAGGACTACACTGAATGGGAAGGTGTAGGTACCAGGCATCAGTCCCACAGTAACCATACTAGAACCACCTTCACCTGTATCTACAGTACTTCCATCCGCATCACTCCAATTTTCACTGGAATTTCTCTCAGAATAGATGAGTGCTTCTCCCGGAGGGGGATTACCAGCCACAATAACACGTCGTTTATAATACTTGGTAACGCGAGTTTCAGAATCAAAGCGCCATCCTATTGTGGTACCAAACCGGGTTTTCTCCTCTGAAGTGATTACGGCCTCCAGTAAAGAGTACTTGATGGGATCATTTACAATAATTTCAATAATTCCCCGTAAGGTGTCACCTGGATAATAGTGCAGGTGTTTTAGTAACACACGAAATGATTCCAAGTGTCCTGAATGTCGCCGAAAGTCCATTTCTTTTTTTTTCTTTTTTCCTGTTTTTTTTTGTTTCTTTCTTTCTTTTAATCTACTAAATAACTTTCTCTTTTCACACCTTTCCTTTTCTCTTGTTTTGTTCCTTCTGTTTGTTTTTTTCTCCTTTTGCTTTTTTCTCCTTTTTTTTTGTTTTTTTTTGTGGTTTCAACGTTGAGAACTTGTAGTCCAATACTACTTGCCGATCAGCGTATATATATATATATATATACACGGATATAGATATGGAGATCCCTTCTCCTCGTTCGAGAATCTCCTTGTTTTATTCCCTTTTACACTTTGCACAAATACCCTGTGGGCTAGTGCTCCGAGTACCTTCTCTCTTCCTCCAAGGGAAAACAAAACAATAAAAATAAAGAATAAAAAGAGAAAAATAAAAAGATAAAAAGGTCATGGATGTATATATACAAAAAATAAGTTATCCCATATGAAAAACGCACTGTACGATAGAGAATGTAAAATGGAATAATTAAAGAAATGATTTAAAGGGTGTAAGAAAAAAAAAAATAATAATAAAAAAAAAAAAAAAACGGAAGTAAATTCCAAATATTTGCTTACAACCACTTTAGTACAAAAAAAAAAAAAAAAAAAAAAAATCAACACGACACACACAAAAAAAAAGAAAAACAAGTTTCACTTTCACTACCAACAACAATACACCTTTTTTCTTTTTTACCTTATCTTTTATGTCTGTCGAAGTGTACGTCGCTTCTTCACTGGTGGAGATAAGGCGTCCACTGTAACGTTTGTTAATGTGTCTGTGGCATCTGTGACGGAGGAAACACTCGTTCCCGTTGCTCCTGTTGGGGTTTGACTAAACAATGTGGATTCCACTTCCGACTGTTGTTGTTGTTGTTGTTGATATTGTTGTTCCGTCATACTCATACTCGTTGTCATTGTTGTGGTAGTAGTTCTTCTCCCCCGCTCCATTGTTGTTGCTGTTGTTGTTGTTAACATCTCCTCTCCACTATGTTGTGTTGTGGTCGTGATGGATGGTGTTTCCATTCCACTCCCGCTTCCATCTGTACTGATGCCCATTCCCATTCTTGTATGGATGTGAACAGCACTCCCACTATTATTACTATTACTACTGCGGGCGGGCGTGTATTGTTGCTCGAGTGGAGCCCCCACGCGGTGTTCACGGCGGCGGTGCATCTCCGCGGCTTGGCGCAACACCACCGCAAAAGAGGCGCGGAGATATTCGAGTTCGTGATGGACGATATTTGTGAGTTTAATGCCGGGAATAAACACCGGCGAACCCTCCGCCTCAAACACAGCCATACTTCGCTGCAGTTTACGCCGCCGCGTCGCCTTTACTTCCGCCACTAAACGAACAACTTCTGAAACCTGCGGGACATCCTCCGCAGCCGCACTGTTCTCACACAATTGTTTGACAACTTCAAAGAAATAAAAGGGAAGAGCCTCAAATGTGGCATCATTCGCCTTTTCACGCTCCAACACATCTCGCAAGTATGGAACCACAAGAAATGGTGGTGGTGTAATAGTGCAGGTGTCGGTTTGGCGAATGTGAAGTGCGAGCCAAAGAGGAACTTCCACCGGGTAATTTGGTGTGAAGGGACCATACCGGCCGCCAAATGCGGTATTCACGCGCGGCATGGTGAACCGCGGTATCATCGTTACTGTTACTTCCATTGCCGCAAAAGAGGCAAAGTGATAGGCCGTGAAACTATCACTTTTACCCTTATGATGATGATTACTATTATTATTATTATTATTATTATTATTATTATTATTACTGGTATTCTTTGTAGTGGTGATGCCTGTGGAGGTGGGGTTTCCACCAGAGAATGAAGAAGTTGTAGGTGTCTCACTACTCATCTTTTACAGAATTTCTTTACTTCCCTGCCTCTTTTTTTATTTTTATTGTGCTTCTTCTCTTGAGGTCTTGGTTTCTGACTGAGGGCAAAAAATAAAGAAAGAAAAGAAAAGAAAAAGAAAAAACACATAGATGTTTACATATATATATATATATATATAGTGATTGTAATAGTAATAATAATAATAATAATAATAATAATAATAATAATAATAATAATAATAATAATAATAGGGATAGCAAAAAGGCCCATACAATAAACATACCAATTAATATTCTCTAGTAAGGACCAGATTCTTGTAGAAGCTACGAATGGACACATGTTAGGATTCCGTAACCAACAGGACCTTTCCCCTGTAAACAATATAGTAAAAGGGAGGGGGATGTGGTGGTGTATGAATAGAATGAAAGAAATTTAAAAAAAAGAAAAAGAAACTTCTTTTGTTCTCTTTCGTTTCATTTCTTTTTTTTTTTCTTATTTCTTTTCATAATCAAATGCAAATCATATTAAAGGAAATCCCTCAGTATACACACAGACAGACAGACACAGACACAGACACCCTACCCATCAATCTAAACGCCCATTCAACTTCACAAATTGAATTGCATGCTCGTTTTTTTTTTTTTTTTCTTTTCTTCTTTTCTTGACGTTCTTGTTCGTTTTCGTTTTCTTTCTCCTTTAATTATAATCATCATTAATAATAATACTCTTCTGCACTAATTTTTCTTTGTTTCTTTTTTTCTACTCCACTTGTTCATATAAATAAGATGCAAAAAGATACCGGATGAGAAGTGCCAAAACACAAAATCCCACTTGAATCCTTAGAACCATTCTTGTCAAGACCTCCTCCCGCATATCTCCATACCACCATAAGATAAGATTCAAAAGCGTATAGTTTTTACTATTTTGCAAAACATCCCGATGAGAATCCCATGTTGGTACTCGATGCCGTGGACAAGGAATAATATGAAATAATTGTGGTAATGAAAGAATAAAATTTATAATTTGTGGGGCAAAAAACAACATGAGGGTTTTACTATAATGTCCAGTAATTCCAGCCACAGAGAGTACAGTGCCGGCAAAATAGGTATAACTATCCCCAACAAAGATACTGGCAGGATATTTATTATAATGCCAAAGGGCTAAACTCACACCTACAAAAGGGACTAATAATCCAATCGCCATGAGTTGATGCATAGATCCATTATCTGTAGAATTACAATCATGATTAAATCCTCCTTCTTTATGCTCTAAACGAAGTTGAAGAATATTATGTAAAATACAGGCTACCGCAATAATAATACTTTGACCCACTTCTACACCATTTACACCAGCAAGAATGTTAATACTATTCGTGCAGAAGATACACAACAAACTGAGATACAAAAGGTATAAACCACCCAAATATAATAAAGAAGTACCTAAATAAGGTACCAATGGAAGTGGAACAGCAATAGAAACACTCCCATCATATGTTAACACTAATGGAAGTGAACCAATAGCAGAAAGTAACAGTTTATGTCGCCAACGTACATCCAATACATCATCTACAAATCCAAGTAATAACATGACAGTTATGGTGGTTACTGCCCCATCCATTTGCCGTGATTTGGATGGACCAAATGCTAATAATATCTCTGGTACTAATACACATAAATACACCGCCCCGGCGAGAATACCAAGTGACTCGGGTACAACAAGTCGCTTATCGGCATCACTAAGTAACTCATGCGGGGTCGACGTAATCTTCTTTCGCTGCTCGGCGGTTGATTTGTTAATATCAACACCACAGATACGACGTTGTAATAACTTTATACGGGCTTCTGGTATAAAGTGTACCGTAGCAGTGTAGGCTACCACACCGGCGAGTATAGCAACAAGGAGATCTACAACATGTAAGTATATGGAGATGAGGATAACTTTTGTAGTATCAGCAAAGTTGTATGAAGTCTCCATCGCGTAATAGTAACACACAGCTGGCAAAGACACACACACACTCACAGAGAGAGAAAGAAAGAGATTGAGATTGATAAATAATAATAATAATAATAATAATAATAATAATAATAATAATAATAATAATAAAGAAAAAAATAAAATAAAAGGAGGAAAAGAAACCAAAGAAAGAAGAAGTTTTCCCTAAATTACTTGGTAATATTCAACTCCCTTGCGTTGTGTTAGACTTTCCCCGATTTTTTTTTCTTTTTTTTCTTTTAATTCCTTCCTTCGACGATGTACAGTTTTTCCTCCCTTTTTTTTTTTTTCTTTGTTTGTGTCCGCCTAATTCAATTAGTCCTACACCGGCACACGTTCACTGAGAAAAACAAAGAAAGAGAAAAGTAAAAAAAAAAAAAAAATGAAAATAGGTAGAAAAAAAAATAATAACATTTCAGTATATAAACCCAAATAAGCATACCATACATATATAATGTTTGTAAATATATTTTATCCTTATTTCATGTTTTAATCAGTATGTACTCCTCTCCAACCCCTCATAGAGAGAAATATAAATATATAAATATATAATGTATAGGCAGAAAGAATGAGTAAAGTAAAGTAGAGTAATAGAAAACGTATGTATGTGTGTATATTTCTTCTTTCAATCATCCCAAACATCTGGATTACTGTTAAACAAGGAACCACCTCCTCTTTTCCGCTTCATTTTATTACCTTTCGCATTCTTCATTGCGGATTCCATATCCTCTTCCTCTTCCGTTGCCATTCCGCTACTCTTCCCATCATCCAAATCATCACTAGATGTAAGTTCTTCTTCTTCCTCTTCTTCCTCTTCCTCTTCTTCATCATCAGAGATATTATCTATATCCTTGGCAATGGATTGATGACTCTTCTCTCCACGAGCCACTTGCCGTAAAGCCCAAAACTTCTGCGATCGTGATGGTGTGAGGCGGGCGAGAAACGCTGCCGTCTGTCGAAGCACCTCCGCCGAAACGGAAGGATCGTCTTCACCTTCCTCAAGCGGAACTATCATATCTGTTGTTTTCAACATCTTTGTTTGTGTTTCTACGGCTTCTACAGGCTTTTCTTTTTTCAAAGAAGTAGAAGGGGTTGTCTTGGTCTTTTTAGACTTTTTTGATTTATCTTTTCTAGTAGATATTGTCTGTTTAGCAGAAGCCACTGGAGAGGCGGAGGGTTTCGTATCACTTTGGTTTTCTGAAGGTAAAGAGGTTGTGCCGGTTGTTAAATCGCCAAGAAACAATGCGGCTGTTTCTTTTTCTGTTAACATTGCCGAACATTGTTTATCCTTCTGTGAATGTGATTTCACTGTTTCTAACTTGGGGGCTTTTAGTCGTCTTGTTGTTGTCTTCTGCGGTCGTTTCTGTCCCATTACTTCTTTTTTTTCTCGTTCCTTTAGAGAAACAGAAAAGACAAAGAGACAGAGACTTAACTAGTTTTTTTTTTTTTTTTTTTTAATGAGGTGGGGAAGAGCAAGCTAATGTGTTATTCCTGCTTCCCTTACTTTATAATAATATTAAAATAAAATAGACCCAAAGAGAAGAAAGAAATAAATTAAAAAAAAGGAGATAATGATAAATAAAATAAAGGAAAGAGAGAAGAAAAATAATCAGAGGGAAAATATATCCTAACCCAATACAATATAAATTGTATTTGGGTAGTCTCTCTATATCCTTTTTTTTTTCTTTGCATTTTTATTTTGTTTCTTCTCATTGTATTTATGAGTTGCACTGAATTACATATGATGAGCATAACACATGTTGATGGAAAGAAGAAAAAGATGATGATGAAACTGTAATAAACAAAAGTTGAAGGAAGAAAAGAAGAGAGATAAAAAGATAGAAAGAAAGAGACGTATATATGGAACAGAGGTCCTCACGATACATTCGCAAATTCATTTGTCTGTTTGTTTGTTTGTTTTTTTTTTGTGTTATTCAATGTTGAACGTTTTACAACGACTTCACTTTTATCATCATTTCAGAAGCAACACGTTCGTTACTTTTCTTTTTTTTTTCTTCTGCTTCACTGTTCCATATAATATAGATCATTGCAAATTTCCACATATTTAATCCATCTCTCACTCTTTCTCTTTTTTGACTCTGATCACACAGAGAAGCTTTATTTTATAATAATAAAGCGTCCCATGTATTTCTCTCTCTCTCTAATATTTCCTTCCTTTTTCTTCGGTGGTTACATAAAACACCGGCAGGGTTCATTTTCAAAAAGAAAAGAAAAAAAAAAAAAAAAAACCCACCATTCAACCTTCTCTACGCCTTTTCCACCTTACGTTTACGTCTATTCTTCTTCTTCAATACGGTGAGGGCATGTCGTGTAAACATACCCTTAATAGCGGACTGAATAACAGAGACGGCCTCATACTCTAAATTTGCCTGTGTCTCCTCTGCGTTCCTCTGAGCCTCTTGTTGTTGCAACTCGGCGTCCCTCTGCGCTTTGAGCATCAACTCCGTCTCCTTCTCCGCCGTGGCGCGCTGGAGTCTCTCCGCGCACTGCTGCCGCATCTGCTCCACGTCAATCTTGCGCGCCTCCACCCGCTTGACTTCTCCCTGATTTTTTCTATCCCAGAGCCCGGCGAGTTCGTCCATCGCCGCTGTGCGCTCCCGCAGGTGGTCGGTGAAGTCGGCGTGCGCTTGAGTCTCCGCGACCGCCTCGCGCCCGGCAGCCCGCGCCGCCTCGACGACTTCCCGCGCGGCCTCCCGCGCCTTCCGACCCGCCGCCTCCGCCGCCGCCGCGACCGCCGCGCGGACATTCGCCCCGTCGTCCTTCACGCGCCGCCGCTCGTCGCGGAGCCGCCGGCGGAGGGCCGCCACGCGTTGGCGCCGGTCGGCGACGTCCCGCTCGCGCCGCTGCCGCTCCGCCTTGAGGTCGTGCTGCAGCTGCTTGACGTTCTGGTTGAGTTCCTTCTCCTTCAGCACGAGCTCGTCCGCCCAGCGCTGGGCACTCTGCTCGTCCGAGATGAGCTTCGCAAAGCGCTCGTAGTGGGAGGTGAGGGGAATGCGGGGGGCGGCTGGGCCACGGGCCACGCGCTTCATCTGCATCGTGTTGCCAAAGCGGTTCTTTCCCATCACAAGTGTGCCCTCTTTGGACTCCGTCGCCATACTCTCCGAGTCGGCGGAACGGCCGTAGCGGCTGTTCGTGCGGGTGAGGGTGCCAGTGGTGGTGGACTGCTTCGGGGCAGCGTAGCCCGTCGTCAGCTCCCGAACAACAGCTTGTAAGAGTTGAATTAACTCTGACCGTTCATTTCCAACCTTTTTCCAGTTATCCGCATCATTCGGGTTATCTTTGAGTTGAACAAATAGTGCTTTATTGTGTTCACGTAATTTGCGAGAAGTTTGTCTTAGTTCTTCCATAATGGCCGCATTTTCATTATCACGCACAGCCGCAAAACAACTCTTATCTAATTCTGGTTCATTTGGACTTGGATTCGTTTTTTCTGTTTGACGCAGCAATTCACCATAACGTCTCTCCAGACGTTGTTGCTCTACTACCAAGTCTGCCACTGTGGAACGACCACCATGCTGCATTCTCGCCGATACTTCTAATGCCGCATTCATTTCACGAATGGTTCTACGAGACATTTCCTCAGGTCTACCAACAAATAAAGCCGCTTTACGTGGCGTAGTGGATCCTGACGTTTGTGATTGATCCACATTAGCTGTAGGATTCGTACTTGTCGATCCTGTCAGTGCTGGGAGAAACCCACTGGAAGGATTATCATCTGGGGCAGTTGTGTCCAGAAGGCTTAACAGCTCTAACCGCTCCACCGCCTTTTCCAATACAGCCACTACACGGTTAGTGGAGAGAAAAGAAAGTGGTATGGACTCAAACTCATCTTCATGAGTGGTTTGTTGAGTGGCAGTGAAAAGATCAACGGTTTTACTCAGAATAGATGGGCTAACACCCTGTGGGGCATTAGTCTCCTGAATTGTACCTGCTACACTCATATTATTTTCTTCTCTTTTTTTTCTTTCTTTCTTCTTCTTTACAAAGTAAATTCCTTCTTCGCCCGCTATTTTTTTATTCCCAGATAGGATCAAAGACACAGAAAGAACGAAATAAAGAGGGAGTGAGAGTGTGTGAGAGAGAAGGAGAAAAGGAAAAAAAAAAAAAAAAGATCCTTTTGTCTCCTCTCACAATACTTCCCCTCTTTATCAGCTTTAAGAAAAAGAAGAAAAAAGAAAGAAAGAAAAAAGAAAAAGGATATTTAGTTCAAAAAAACATGTACAATAGAGAAAAATAAATAATTACTATTCACTCTCATTCCCCAGAAAATCTTGTAGGGATTAGAGTTGTGCAAAAGAACTGTAATGACTAAGATTGTCATATTTGCACTTTTTATCTGCAGTGAATACAAAAGAGTACCCTTTCTCTTTAATCAGGAAACCACACATACACACATATACACATATATATATACACATACATATATATATATACACACATATATATACACAGAGAGAGAAACGCAGAACAACAACAACAACAACAAGAACAATATGTATCATTTTTTTTTTTTTCCTTACAACAATTCATATGTATATCTAAAGTATATGTTGGTACAGTATGTGTAGGTCTCCACAAGGGTATTTATACGAACTCGAGAATTTACAATAAAAAAAAAAGATAAATAGAATAAAATATAAATATATTTAAGAATTAAGTTGCCACTCGGATTGACACTTTGTGCATTGATAAAATATAGTTTGACCTTCATCTGCGCTTCTTGTTTGTCTTGCGAATACTTTACACTGCCGGTGTACTCCACAATTCTCACAAAACGCCTCTTCCAATACACGATTGTCAACTTGTGTGATTCCCACAGTTGTCTCTCCTCCTTCTGCCGCATTTATTTTCTTTCTTCTTGCGATTACTTCCTCCTGTGCGGCTCGTATTTCCGCTGGTGTAAACAAGAGAGCCGCGGAAGTGTTATTAGAAGCCTCAAACATATAAGCATTATCATAATAGTGATGATGATGATGATTTCCGGGTTCGGATGTCTGCATACTACCACAGTGTTGACACCAATTGGTGGATGAGTGTGGATTGTTATTCTGCTGAGATACCCACTGTCCACAGACCGCACAGTATGTGGAGCCCAATGCAAGAGCACGTGCAGAAGTGAAAGTAGACATTTATTTTATTTTATTTTATTTTATTCTTCCTCTTCTTTTCTTGTGTTACCGTTAAATCTCTTTTATTTGTTTTGGTCTTTTTTTTTTTCTTTTTTTCTTTCTTCTTTTCTTTTTTTTTTTTTTTTTTTTTTTTGGTTTCTCTTTCACTGGCCCACAAACCACTATTACTTACTATTACTGTATCTTCACTCGAGAAAATACTCTTTTGTTTTTTTTTTTAAGTGTTGTATAGAATAATAATAATAATAATAATAATAAATGTAGATAAATAGAAAAAAAAAAATAAGAAAGAGATATTAACCAAAATAGTAGTCATCACAACAGTAACAACAAAGAGAGAGAAAAAAAAAAAAGCAGAATAAGTAATATTTTATCATTTATTAATATTATCTAACAATGAGAGAATAAAAGGATATTAACATATTCCTTCTTTATCAACATTTTGGGATTATCATGGAAAACAAAAAAAAAAAATACAAGAATAGAGAGATCGATATTCACATTAGTACTGGTAAAGAAGGAAGGAAAAAAAAAAAAAAAAAACAGGGAGAACCCATAATTGAGCCATAAAAGCAAATAAAACAAATAAACAATAAATAAATAAATAAAAAAGACATTAATACCCATCTCTCTCTCTCTCTCCCTCTCTTTCTTTCTTTAAGGTACACACAATAAATCTACTATCGAATAATATCACCTAACTGTGTTTTACCCGAGTGTGTATAGTAATAGAGAGAGAGAGAGAGAGAGAGAGAGAGATGGGGAAAGTTTTTTCTCTCTAACACTCCCCAAAAGAAAAATAAATAAATATGACAACAACATCGTTGTTATTTACTTTCACAAAATACTACTGACGATCATTCCCATTAAGAGCATCACGGCAGCCAAGCAAAACAACGCCGTTCCCCCAGCCGGCATAGAGAATTGAAGACCCGGTGGAATCCGCGTGGGTCTATCATCCACACAGAATCCATTTAAATAAACATAAAAGAGAGTTCCCACGGAGACCGCATTACAAATCACAGTAATCCAACCGAATATCCATACACATAGTAATAGTAATAGGGATCGAATAAAGATAACAGCTATAAGGAAGACAATACTAAATAGGCAGGCAAATATAGAGAACAATGTAAATACTTGGCCCACTTTCATTTTAGATGTAAACTCCTTACAGGGAATATCATCAAAGTTGTATTTTTGAAATACATGCTGCGGGGCAAAACCGTATGGTAACTGAACGGTTAGATCAACGTAGTAGTGAAAATAATCCATTTTAGTCACCCACGTAAAATTTGCCCCTTCTATTGGGACATCCACATCAATTCCGATAAAACCGAGTACGGTTAATTTCGTAATGCGTCTACCACCATAGTTTTTACCGTAAACGACTGGGGATTCAAACAGCGTGATGGAAAAGCCAATAACAATTAATATCCAACTGGCAATAAAAAGAAGCAGCACCGGTATAACCCACCAATTACGACCCATTGTAAATACAAAAGTATATATATATATATAATTATGTATTATCGATATCCCTACAACCTAGAAGAAGTATAAATAATAATAATAATAATAATAAAAGAAAATAGAAGAAAGAAAAAAAAAAAAAATATATATATATGTCAACAAATATAAATAAATATATAAATATAAGTATATTTACACATAAATAAAGTTAAGAACCACAAAAGGGAAGTAAGGAAATATCACACTCAAATAAGTAAACCTATACGCACATAACTATTCATATATATATATATATATACCATAAACAAAAAAAAAAACGGCATTAATGTAAAAAAAAAAAAAAATATGAACAATGATTTTCTGAACATAGCCGCCAAGAGAAAACTTGGGTCAATCACAGCAACAACAACGGTAGAAAGTAATAAATATAAAGAAAGAAAAGAAAAAAAAAACATTGTATGAACACTATTACACTCTCTCCCCATGCAAGAAAGATAATGGGAGGAAGAAGAAGAAGAAAAAAAAAGAAAAAAAGAAATCAAGAAAGTAGTAATGAAAAGACAAAAAGCAGAATAGTTGCCAATAACATTAATGTCTGATATCCCACCCGCAAACGTGAATCTAACTTCAAAGCCTCCAATTTCTTCCACGCGGTGGTCGCATCAACGAGAAAATCTCCTTTACGGAAAATGTGATAATCATATATTAACTCCAGAGCCCCCGCAATGGGCATCATCCACGCCCCCATTAATAAATAATGAAGAATGGCAAAACAACGAATTGTAAATTCCCCAATCACCAACGGGTTGACTTCCTGTTCAAGCTCCATCGCGTTATTCATACGATCCCCATACTCATTGACAAAAATAAAGTGAAAGAGAGATACACAGAAGGCGGCGGTTTGTAAAAGAAAGGCAAGGGCCCAAGTAATCACTTCATGCACAAAGTGACCAAAGAGAACAAGCAGAAAACAAATATGCATAACGGCAAAGAATTGGGCCTGTCGACGTCTCCACGTTGTGTACGGCCGCTGTCGCTGCAGTATGAGTACATTTACCCAATCCACCTGCATAATAAGAGCCTCTCGGAATCGATGCGAAGCATCCATTCTTTTTTTTTTTTTTACAACCTCTTTATTTTTATTTCTTTTTATTTTTGTTTATTGTTTTTTTTTTTACTATTCTTTGGGAGGTGAGGAGAGGAAGGGAGGAGTGGGGGGTATATTTATTATCCCCTTTTTTTCTTTTTTTTTTTTTTTTGGGTTTCTTCTTATTGTTCTTGGTATTGCCTTCTTACTAATATTGAAATATTCCTTTTCTTCCAAATATACTAGTCAGATATAAATATGATCTCGTTCACTTGTTTTTGTTATTTTCCTTTGTATGTGAGTGAGGGAGTGTGGGTTATCTTCCCTTTTTATAAAGAGTGAACGTATCAAGATCTAAAAACAAAAACAAAAGAATAGAGAAATAAAGAAAAAGAATAGACTTTTTTTTTTATGCAACTCGCAACAGCAAGAAGTTTATACACACTTACACAATGAAGATATATATATATATATATATATATATATATATAACTTTCTTTCTCTCTCTCAACTACAATCACCAAATTCGTCACAGCCATCTTTTTTTCTCTTTCTCTTTCTCTTCTCTTTCCATTCCATTCCATCTCTCTGCATTTCCTTCACAACACACACACTTTCTCTCTTCTTCTTATTTGTTGTTATCATTGTTGTTGCCGTTCTGCGGTTGCCTTTCGCCGCACCATTTGTTTCCAATTCTCTGGATACTGTGCGGGGTTCGTGCGGTGGAGTGGCGTTAACACGGTGGGTCCCCGCGGCATCCACAGCCAATTCACAGGTGTGTTCGCCTTGTGCCAGCGAATTAAAAACCGTTTCTTGGCTTTATGATTTTGTTTAAATAGATTCAATGGGAACTTCGGCTCCACATCCCCCAACACCGGCATTAATGGATGTTGAGACCACTCGCGGTGTAATTCCCGAATATGTTGAAAGGCATCTGTGTTGCCGTCCAGCGTGGCTCGCATCATCCACTGCCGCAGTTGGTCATTATGATTGGGTGTGAGCCGCACCGGCCGCGGCAGCCACTCGACTGGTCCCTTATCGTACCAGGCAACATTGTCGCTGGGCTTTGAGCGCATTTTGTTGTTTCTACCAAACCCGCTGCGGCGTGGACGTTGATGGGTTGTGCCGAGAATTGTAAACCGCTCGGGGGTGGCGGTGAGAAGAGCCGCCGTACGCCGCATGGGAACTTAAATAATAGACTCGCAATAATTAAATAAATAAATAAATAAGAAGAAACAGACTAAATAGGTCTTCTCTCTCTCTCTCTCTCTCTATATATATATATATAGTATATGAAGAGAGAGAAGGGTATACCTAATGTATGTATGTATGTATGTATTTAACGTACGCCGTCTACCACTACTATCACTACTACTACAATACTGACTATATGCAGAGAATACGGCTCGTACTATTATTAATAATATTAATATTAATAATAATAATAATAATAATAATAATAGTGGATAGTAATTATAATAAGAGGAGACGGAGGAGGAAGAGGAAGAGAAGGAGATGAAGGAACAGGTGTGCGTTCCCAAAGTAATGTGTCCTTCTCACACCAACTACCCTCCTTATTTACTTCCTCTTCCCATACAGAAGAGAGAAAGAAAGAAAAGGGAAAGAAAGAAATGGAAGAAATAATAAAGAATAAAGAGAGAAAAACAGTAATAATAATAATAATAATAATAATAATAATAATAATAATATGTATACACACACCAAACACAAAGTCTAAGTTTTATATGTATGCAATTAATCTTCTTTTTTTTTTAAAAAAAAAAAAGGGCAAAAGTGCAAAAAAAAAAAACAGAAAAATAAAGGCCTACGGAGAGAAAAAAAAAAAAAAAAAAAAAAAAACCAAAGAAAGAAAGAAATAAATTAAAAAAAAAATAATAATCATAATAAATGTGATAAGAACAACAACAGACAAACCATTATAAAATTGTAAGCCGCTGCAGCAGCACTACTACTCTCTAATAGGAAAAACAAAAAAAAAAAAAATGTTTCTTTTATTTATTTTTATTTATTTTATTTTTTATCCTAATAAAAAAGCTTCTCCCTTGTACGGCGCAGGAATAAACAAATATCCACTCTCCCCACATCTCGAGCCTTTCGAAAGATCCATGCGTACACCCGTTGGTCCATCAACACACTACTCATTCCCTGCTGCTGCTGTTCTTCACCAATACTATTTCTTTTTATTTCTTCTTTTTCTTTTTCTTCTTTTTCTATTATTATTACTGTATCTAACTTGAGCAATAACTGCAGGACTTCATCCCATAATTCCGTATGGACAAGTACTATGAAAACAGCACTATATGCATTTCCAAATCTCGTGGGTTGTTCCATTATACTTATCATCACATCAGACAAAATAGACATGGCTGTTTTATTAGGAATAGAATACATTTCTTCTTTCTGTATATTATTTTCATTGCCTTTCAGAGAGATATTCTTTTTGGTAAGAAAAGGAGATAATAACAGTATGAAAGAGGCCGCACTGTAAACTGGTAATAATAATATGGATGAGGATTGCTCCTTCTTCTTTATTTCCTTCAAACGTGAGAGGAATGTCTCTATCAATCGTAATAGCATCATTCCTTTTTCTTCTTTTTCTTCTTCTTCCACTGTATATATAGAGGGCATAGTTCCCACTGTAATAATTAACTCCACCACCAATGCTAGAAAACACTCTTGTCCTACAATATCATCATTATTATTATTGTTATTATTATTGTTATTATTATTCCCAAATGTTTCCATCATGCTCTTTACAAAAACGCCATCAGGACTAAATAAAGACTCTAATGTATTCATCACATTCTCTCCGAGATGAGAACGGTGAGTCAAGTCACAATATATTCGCATCCACTCAATTTCCACATTAGAAAAACGACTGATTGAATTATTATTATTATTAATATTAGTAGTAGAAGTAGTAGAGATTGGAATAAGGGATCCGTCTTGTAATGCCAATGCCGCATATAGAGAAGCATCCAATAGTGATAAAGATTCATTTCGAAGTAAATCCTTCAGAACATTATCTATAGCCTCTTGTAATGTTATTTTTAGAAATGAGGAATCCATAGATTTATCATTTCTCTGTTCTTCTTCTATTTCTTCTTTTTCTACTTCTTCATTAGATCCATTTTCTCCTTCTTCTTCTTCTCCTTCCTCTGCCGTCTCTCCATTCTCCCATCTTCTCTTTTGGATATTCTTTATCTCTGTAATCTTTTCATCATTTCCACTCTCTCCAGTGTTATCTTTATGAATAAAGCTCACATAATCTCCCAAGGCCAACTCACTTCGATAGGCGTGTCGGCCATAATAAACAGCAGAGAGAAATTCATTCGCAAATTGATGGAGTCGTTCAACATCCGCAGCACTTTGGCACCATACTTCTTCTCTCAATCTACACAAAGACCCATCGGTAGTAGTACTACCATTATTATTATTATTATTATTATTATTATTATTATTATTTCTCTCTTCGACAAATAAAGTACAAAAGAAGAATTGTAATTGAAGAAGAAGATGGAATTCCTTCGCCTCAGCTGCACACTGGGCGAGGGCGAGAAAAACATCTAAATAGGCCTGTAATCCATTTAGTCCTTCCTCATCTTCTCTTTCATGACTGTCACTATTCTTGTTAAGATTACGATTGCTTGGTCGACTTTTGTTATTATTATTATTATTATTATTATTATTATTATTATTATTATTAACAGAGACAACAGTTGAGGAGATGTGCTGCAAGATATCAGAGACTTTATCTTTACTCACATTCTCCCGTACTAAACGATTCCAATCAATTTCAGAGTCTTCCTCTCCTTCTATTGTTGTTCCTGTTGTTTTTGGAAGAAGTCCTAATTGGTATAAACACTCCCAGACAGGAATATACATTTCCTTTAAAAGATAACGCACATAAGGAGATGGATTTACCAAAGGAAGAAAAAGAAGAAAAAAAAGTCCCTCACTTCTCTTTTCTTTTTCCTCCTTTTCCTCCTCTTTCGATAACGGAGTCTCAAGAGCCACAGGTCCAATAAATCTCTCCGGTGATATCATTAAACTTGCATTACTAGAAGGGAGCATAGATTGTACAAAGTCTATATATATACGCAAGTCAGACATTACAGAAAGAGGAATAGGAACTCGTTCTTCCTGTGCAGCCTTACGCAACCAATCTAAAAAATAAGGGAAAGCTCCTAAATGTATATTTTTAGAAATAGCATCGTAAATTAATTCATCTGTGAGAACAAATCCCTGAAGGGCCTCTAAGTTTTTAAGGTTTCGATTCCACACATCTATTTCATCCGCCATATGTGCTGTAATAGGTGTTCCCACAAGGACTCGTTCTTGATTCAAACTCATATTATTATTATTATTATTATTATTATTGTGATGATGATCATGGCTTTTGGATGATGTTAATCCGCCAGAGTGTCCACTACTCTCCGTCTGTTTCCCCTCTTGTTTTTGTTTTTGTTGTTCCAGTACGGCGGTGGATCTTTTAAGAATACGCTGCCGTGCTTGAAAGTAAGTTCCCACATTACGGCTCTTCATGGAGAGAAACTTCTCTTGTTTGAATGGAACTGGTTTGAAGTGTGGAATGGGCTTCACTGCACGCAGCAGCTGAGAATGAGAGAGAATTGTTCTCTGCATTATTCTTTCTTTCTATATATATATATATATATATATATATATATATGTTTTTTTTCTTTCTCTTGGGTTCCTTCTGCACTTTGACTTATCCACAGAAAACGAAGAAAGGGAGAGAAAGAGAGAGAAATGTGTAAAGATGTAATGAAGGTGCTTTATCGTAGGTTGTTAAAAGGTATTTTAAATATCTGCAAAGGATAAAACTAAACATGGATATAAAGAGGACTATATATATATATATAACTGTTTCTGTTTTTTTTTTTTTTTACATTTCTCATCTATCGTCCGCACTTGTAGAAAACTGGGTGGGGAGTTGCAGGCAAACATACACTCTTGCCTAATTCCACTGTACATCACATTTTTTTTTTTCTTTTTTGTTTCTGATCATCATCTTCTCATATACACAATAACTGTATCTATTTCTTCTTCAATCATACAGTCAAACTAATAATAATAATAATAATAATAATAATAATAATAATAATAATAAAAGAAATAATAAAATAAAAAACAAAAGACTCTGTGAAAACAACGTCTTCTTTTATTTTCCTTTTTCTCTACCATCCATCTTCTTTACACTGTCATCATGGACACCAGTGTGCGAAGAGACGGTAAGGACGCTGTTGAGGCATCATCCAATGAGAGAAGAAACCCCAAAGCCCCTGGCGATTTTCTATTCTTTTCCTCTTCTTCCTCCTCTTCGTTGTTTCTTTTCTTATTATTATTATTATTATTATTATTATTATTATTATTCTTTTTCTCCTCCTCTTCTTTTCCACTTAAGAGGTGTTGATGTTCATTTCGCCGTTTCTCTTCACGGGCTTTGAGAAGCGGCCACAACTTCACCATGCGGTCCCGCAGTCGGCTGTAGAGGGCAGGGGAGAGATAATTCCCATAGGCATCCACACACATTATACATTGATCATCCTTCTCATTATCTTTATTATCTTTATTATTATTATTATTATTATTATCTTTATTATTATTATTAGTATTATTTACATTAGTATTATCTTTATTATTATCTTCATTAGTATTATTAGTATTATTATCTTCATTATTCTCCAGTATGTCAAGAAGTCCTTGTAGACTATTATCCTCCGTGATGCCATTCCAACGCAGTACCAACAACTCCAATGGCACCACCGTCGCATCTCTACAAACATCATTATTAACAACTTCAGTATTATCAGTAGTAGTATTAATAGTACTATTATTATTATTATTATTATTATTATTATTATTATTATTATTATTATTATTATTATTATTAGTATTATTAACATTATTATTATTATTATTATTATTATTATTATTATTATTAACACTCTGAAGACGTGGACTGCCCGCTGCCTCTTGTAATAATGCCTGTACGCCTTTATTTCCCAATCGACATTCGGATAAATTCACACGGCGTAGTGAACATTTCGGGTGAAATAACATTTTTCCCACTCGTGTCGCATCTGAGAGTGTGAAGGTATTCCCAGAGAAATCCACAAAATGTAATTCCGCATTCACTTTTCTATCACTCTCTTCTTTTTTCTCTTCTTTTTTCTCTGCTGCTGCTGCTGCTGCTGGTACTTCTTTACTTGTTTCTACATCTCTTGCTTCCATATCGGCCGCATTATTATTATCATCATCCTTATTATTATTATTCTCATTTTCATCATTATTTTTATTATTATTATTATTATTATTATTTTCATTATTAGATGATGATGATGATGATGCCTCTTCTTCTTCTTCTGAAGACCAACTGCAGCCTTTCCCAACCCCGCAGGAATACTCTACCAAATGCAATACATGTGCCAAATAAGTATTCGGCAATTTCAATTGACCGCCCGCCTGTAGACTTCGCAGTGGTAAATGATATAAACATTCCATAAACTTTGCAAATACAGTTTCTGAGATAATCTCTGGTGATAATCTATCAAACATAACACTTCGAATCGTTGTGTTTTGCAATAACGCTTCTCTCGTGTCTGGTAGTAATAACAATTCGGGTTCTACACAAAGAGAGTGTAATCCCTTATCATTACTGCGAATACGTTGAAGAAGTCTAGCCACACCCATTAAACGAAGATGTTTACTGGGCGAAGAAACAGGTAATTTATTTTTCTTTTCCTGTTCTTTTTCCCATTCTTCCTTTTTTTGTTTTTGTTGTTGAGTCTTCTCTACTGCAGTATTCATTTCGGGTATTTCCTTCTCACTTTTTCTTGTTTAGATAACCCCTTTTTTTTTGTATTTCTCGTCTACTCACTTTCTGAGCGTGAGTGGTGTATTGATATCACAGCTCTTTTCTATTCTGTTCTGTACTTCTAGAGGAACTATATATATATAAATAGATAAATAGATTGATTGATAGAGAGATAGAGAAGGAGAGAGAAGAGATTTAAAAAGGAGAAGAAAGGAAAAGAAACACATACTTCGTTCTTTCCACAAAGAGTTCAAAGAAACAAAAACAAAAAAAAAAAAGATCCATAAAGAGAAATAGAGGGGGTAATATTTCTCCACTCCTCTCTCACTCTCTCTCTCTCTCTCTCTCTCTCTCTCTATATATATATATATATATGAGCCATGCAGTAATTTTTTATTTTGAATGATTAGAGGAGAAAACGAGAGAAAAATAAAATAAATAAAAAAACAAATAAAAACTTGCATTAGACAAGTAGTAAAAAGACAACAGGAAAGGGAGAGGAAGAAAAAGGGAGGAAAAATAGAAACCGTTAAAATCACTAGAATGACAAATAACAAAATAAGAAATAAAAAAAAAAAAACAGCAAAAATAAAAAACAATTGTAATTGTGATAATAATTCTCCCTTTAATAATAAAATGGGAAAAAAAAAACAAAAGAAGTCACATCAATATCTTCACATAAGATACCTAGAGAAGTAACGGTATTCTCTTCTGCTAGTTAATAATATCGATACTACTAATACTACTAATACTAATAATCACAATCATAATAACAAAAACCTGTTTGGTTAAACAGTAATAAACAAAAAAAAAAGAAAGAAAGAAAAATAAAAGACATATGAAAGTTCTCTACTTAGTCATTTTTTTTTTTTATATATATATATTCTTAGAAACTTCATAACTATGGATTTAAAAACACTCTGATTGCGTTTCGTTGAGTCATTGGATTAGTGCCATCTCCCCCGTTTAGATCTTTCTTATTATTATTATTATTATTATTATTATTATTATTATTATTATTATTATTCTGATCCAATGGGGTATCATCATCATCTTCCGATAAGAAGGATATACTCGTATCTGCTATCTCCACTATGTGCGGTGTCACCTTTTCCATGGTAAGCAAATCCCCATGATTATCCACAACTTTTCCGTTATCCAACAAAATACCCGTTTCCCCTTCAGCCGCAAATAATAACCGTAATCGTGTGAGATAATAACCATTCTGTATAGATCCATCTATATTATCACTTTGAAGACGATTTCGTACTTCTCTGCAGGAAGAAGAAGAAGAAGAAGAAGGTCGCCAACGTACCATAAAGAGATTCGAATCTGGCATTAATATACATTCAAATAACATGACACAATGTACTTGATTGTTTTTATCCTTCTTCTCATGATAGTTTACATAACTACTCCCATCATCTAGGAATAGTTCCCCACGAGCAAGTAAATGAGTTTGATGTTTTTGTTGTTTTTCTAAGATTGGCATGAGACTTGGAAGTGCTATCGTTAAAGTGTAATTAGCCACATCATGTGTACTTCGCATCTTGCTAACATCTGTATATGTAGAAACAATACTTCCCACACGTTGAAAGAGTGGAGTCATTAAACTTTCTGATAATAATGAATATGAAATCTCTATAGAGGTTTTAAAAATGGAATGTGCTTTCACTAATGTTCCTGTCCAATAATTATATAAATCCTCTGGAGGCATATGAATAACAATTGTACGACCTTCTCGTTTTTCCACTCCTGTTAATGGTGTTAATACAGGAGCCACAAATAAATCTGGTCCAAGAAAGAATTGTTGGGTTAACATTATCGGTTCCACCCGTGTGAGTTCCTCCTCTGGATAGACAAAGAATAATGGACGCATAATTAACTCTCCATAAAAATGTGATCGCCAAAAGAGTGTATAGAGAGTTGGTAAAAGTGTATATCGAAATTGAATCGCATCTCGAATACGGGCATGTATAGATGGAGAAAGATCCCAACTCTCCCGTAATGGAACTCCCGCAGCCGCATTACTACGAAAGAAGGGAAGAAATACACCGAGTTGATACCATCGAAGTAATAATTCCTCCTCTACTGAATACCAGAAACCACCAACATCCACACCAACAAAGGGAATACCCGCTATACTATGCGTTAAACAAGTTTCTACACTTTCTTGTAGACCTTTCCATCCACCTTGTTCATCTTTTCCATCTCTATTTATTATATATGGAGCTATACGAACCGCCGCATATCGTTGTATTCCTGCAAAGAAAGATTCCGTTATTACAAATGGTCTTCTATAGAAATGTGTTCGGCGTAATTGACCATTAAAGGCTGCCATTGCATGCAGCATTCCATATACATTATGCACTTGTGCATGTTGAACAGCACCCATGTGTCCTGTTTTCATTGGAAGACTTCCATATGCAGTGCCTTCTACTATAGGTGTATTCCCTTCTAAACTAAGAAAGGTATGATTGGTGGATCCAATAAATCGTTTATATTTTAATAATCCACTATACCAATGTCGAGCTGAGGGACTGAGAAAGTCTATCCAAGCTCCCATACATCCACGAACCACTTTACTACCTTGAGAAGTAGAAATTGGAGTTCCTGTTAAAGCCATATATGGAACATCAACTTCCGCATCTGTAGTGACAAAATAACTATTATCTTTTCCCTCAAGATAAGGTGGAAAACGTGCATCTATACGTACATATGGAACCGTAGAAATAACAAGAAAACGACCTCCATCACGCCAAAGTTGTTGTTGAAGTCTTAATGGATCTGGAAAATGTGTGGTATTCCATGTAAAGATACGTTGATCATTAGCGCTGGAAAGAAAACTAACACCAAGTGTATCTACAGGTATATGTTCCCGTTCAAATTTATTACTTAACTCTATAAGTTTACTACTATCTTTATAGTCATTATGTGCATGATGATAACCAAGTGCAAAGCGTGGTGGAAACATGGGGAATCCTGTTAATGTGTAATATTGTTGTAATACATCTTCAGGTGTTGGTCCTGGTAATAAATACAATCGTGTGGCTCCCGCGGTATTAACAAATGTAATACTTGTTCGACCATGACGATTATAGGATTGTGTTTCCACACGTAGTGGAGAACCATTTAACCAAAGAATACCCACTGTATATTGCTTCCACATATCCTCTTCATTGTTGTTATTCTCCCCAGTACTAGTATTATTATTATTATTAGTAGTAGTAGTACTAGTAGTAGTATTGGCATCAGTATTAGTATTGGTATTATTATTAATATTATTAATATTGGTATTTTCCGGTATAGAATTATATCGTCGTGCACGTCCAATAGCGTAAACAAGTGGAACCGTTCCACTCCCTCCCAATCCCAAATGAACAGTGGAATCCATTGGAATAGAATTAAATAGATGATACTTGGTATTCTCTTCTAACATCATTCCACTTGAACGTGAGGGTAAACCATAGAAACGTACTCTACTCTCCGGTGTAAAAGAGAATTCCCCAGCATTAAATTCCCCATGTTGTTCCAATACATCTTTTTCCTCTTCCTCTTCCAAAGCCTTTTTACCCCTCTTTATCGTATCCTTCACATTATAGAGAGAGAAACGCACTGTTAAGGCAGTGGAGTTCCATTCCCAATAGGAATATCCCTGTAAAGCCTTTGCTTCGTGAGGAACACATCGCAGGAGTGGAGTGGAAGATGAGGGGAGACGCCAAATCACACGATGTAAAAAATCCGCATATTCATTTTCTTTTTCTCTCTCCATAATTACTTGACGAACACGTTGAAGTCCAGTATCTTTCTTATTATTTTTATTATTATCAGGATCATCTTTATTATTATCATTATTCTCCAATATCTCCTCAGGGAAATAGGAAACCGGAGATATACGTGATTTAAACCCAACAATATAAGAATATCCCCTCTTACACTTAGAGGCCAAAGAAGAATCCCTTCCATATCTCAACAACTTTTCTCCTTTTTCATTATTATTATTATTATTATTATTATTATTATCATCATCTCCTGCTGGCCCTTCTTCCTCTTCTTTTTCTTTTTCCTTTTCTCCATCCTTTATCTCATCTTGTTGTTCAGGTCCGGGAAATTCATCATCCTCTTCCTCTTTTTCTTTTTCCTCTTCCTCTTCACACTGGCGAGGTCGAGTTCTAAAGAAATCCAAATTCACCGTCACTACATTCACATTTTGATTATTATTATTATCATCATCTCCCGGTAAAGTCTTTTCCACCACGTGGCACATCTCTGTAGAGATCATATCATCCAGTTTAAAAAGATTCTTGGGATTTGATGGGGTTTCCTCAGGCAATTCCGCATTACCAAGTCGTTCTTCTTCTCGATTAATTTTTACTTGTCGTTTCGCTTCTTCTTCTTCTTCGTTTTCTTTTTCTTCTTTCAGTTTCGCCGCAGCGGCAGGGTCTATTTTTGTTTTTGTTGTTGGTGGAGAAGAAGGAGGAGGAGGAGGAGTTTTTCTTTCCCCAATCTCTTCTTTTTCTGGTTTGGAATCATAAGTTCCTCCTATCATGTAGGTGTGAAGAGCGAATAAACACATTAGTAAGAAGAGTAATATAAACATAAAAATTAGACGTCGTTGCCATCTATACAAGTGACGGCGTCTGAGATTAGAGACACCCACATGATGTTTCATTTTGATCCTTGACAATCTTTTTTTTTTTTT